AAGCGGCCTGTGTGTTTATTTGCTAAGTCTGTGATTATTAACCAGAGGGCCATGGCCCAGTGGCCACGAGACACAGCTTCCCCCCATGGAGGCTGCAGGCTTGGTGCTGTCCTCACTCTCCCACATACCTGTGGGCCCAGGTTCCTTGCAGGCCGCACTGGCTGTTTGTGCCATGAGCTGCAAAATCCGCCTCTTTGAAAGCAGAGGAGTCAGCTCTTGAGCCTGGCCAGGCCAGCTTCAAGGGCAGGTTATAGGAGGCAGAAGAATGGTCCCCGGGACATCCAAGTCTTACTCCAAGGAGCCTTATGTGCAGAAGGAACCTGGTGGGTGTGAGGGCATCTGGAGCTGGTCTGAGTTGTCCCAGAGAATCCAGGTTGGCCCTAAATGCCATCACAAGATGTGACTTCAGAGGCCCAGAAGAGGCAGGAACAGGAGCGAGAGTTGGAAGTGACTCGAGGAAGGGGCCAGGTGCCAAGGCACACAGGCAACCTCCAGAGGCCAGGGGATGGATTCGCCCCACCCCACCCCCCAGAGCCTCCAGAGTGGACACAGCCCTGCCCACACCTTCGTTTCAGCCCAGGGAAGCCCCTCGCCAGCTCCTGGCTTCCTGGGCAGTAAGAAAGGATATCCTGGCTTGGGCCTGGCCCAGCCCTGGCTGTTGCAGCCATTTGGGGAATGAACCAACAGAAGGAAGATCTCGATCTCTCTCTCTCTCTTTCTCTCTACCTTTCAAATAAATGAATCTTTTATTCTTTTTTTAATGCTGTTTGAAGCCACGGCTCTGAAGGCCCCACACTCGGTTCAGTGCTCAGCTGGTGCTTCTTGAAATTCATATTTCTGAACGAGGTCCCCTGTCCCCAGTGTCACTTTGTACTGGGCCTGCAGAAACTGGTGCCAGAGCCCAGGAAGTACCTGCTGCCTCCCCACTACACCAAACACACCACCTGTTACACCAGTGCGAATCCAACGTGGGCCAGAAAGACCTCCCTATTATAATAAAGCAATCACACACGGCATAGGAGAGAGTGCAAGGTTCACATGAATCAGGGGCCGGGCCATGGCTGAGTGGGAAAACCACCTACCACAGCCAGCATCCCATAGGGGTGCCAGTTCAAGTCCCAGCTGCTCCACTTCTAGTCCAGCTCTCTGCTACGGCCTGGGGGAAAGCAGTGGAAGATGGCCCAGGTCTTTGGGCTCCTGCATCCACATGGGAGACCTGGAAAAAGCTCCTGGCTCCTGGCTTTGGATCGGCATAGCTCCAGCTATTGCAGCCATCTGGGGAGTGAATCAGCAGATGGAAGACCTCTCTCTCTGCCTCTTCCTCTCTGTAACTCTGCCTTTCAAATGAATAAGTAAATCTTTTTAAAAAAAAAAATCACATAATTTTAAAAGGTAAAACAGGAGACTTCTGTATTTTTTTTCCACTTCCTGCCAAATGTCCAGGCCCACCCACAAGAGGAGTTATTAATCCCCCTTTGCCATCAGGGATGGCCACCCTGGGACAGCTGTGGCAATTCTCTCTCCCAGGCCAGTGCACTCTACGATGCCACCTCCTCCAGGAGGCATCTGAGGATTGATCACAGAGGGCCACAGGCCTTTCCCCAGCCTACTCCCTCTAGCTGGAAAACTCCTGGCCTTCTCCTTCCATGCTCCCTGCTCCTGCCGCCCTGTCTGGGACCCATGGGGCAGTGGTTCCAGCCTGAGCTCCTGGGTCAAGGCCATGGCTTCTTCAGCTGGTATTTGAATGGGGCAGCTTGGGCTTTGTGGAGAGCAAAGGGTTCAATTTGTGGCCTCCCCAAGGACCAGGGACATTTTCTACCAATGCCACCGTTACTTGCACACCTGCTGCGTGTCGAGCACTGTTCCAGACACTGGGAGTGCAGCTCAGGATGGCCACCACCCCCTCCTGTGGCTGCCCTGCAGGGAACGTCCTTCCTGGTGTGTTTCTTGGTTAGAGGTGGGGTGGTGATGGTGGTATTTAATCGAAGGAGAGTTCGAAGGCGAGGAGGAGCCGTGGTCTCCCGAAGCGGCTGTGGGCTGACTTGCAGGCAGATGGTGGATGCGGAGTTTGCCCCAATTTCCAGGGAAGCGTCCCAAAGTTACCTGCAGGCAAGTGAGGTCACCGCTGGCAATGGTAACCCGGAAATTCTTTAAGATCCACAGCAGGGGCCAGCATACAGTTTAGTGGTCAAGACAGCTGCATCTAACCTCAAATGCCTGTGTTCGATTCCCGACTCCAGAATGCAGAGCCTGGGAGGCGGCAGGGGGCGAGGGCTCGAGGAATTGGGTCCCCGCAGCTGCAGGCATTCAGGAAGTAAGCCTGAGCAGGAGCCCTCTGCTTCACCCTCTGTCTCCCTCCACCTTGCAAACACTAAAAAGAATTTTTTTTTACTTTCACAGCAGCTTCTGGCCACGCTCTTGAGAACCACCTTCCCGTGGCTACAGACTTAGACAGCTGCCGGCAGCTTCGAGCGCTCCTCAGACTTCAGGGGCGCACCTGCGGAACACCTGCTGTACTGGGACGCTGAGACAGCCAAGGGCTCCTCTGACCCTGACTCCAGCCCAACAGCACCGCCAATGGCAGGGATTAAAACACTTCACACGGGGAGGACACAGGGTGGCTTTTGTCTTAGTGACCAAACCACGGCTGAAACCAAGAGCCCACAAAGCAAAGTCCTTGTCCTCAGAAGAGCTCCTCCTCTCTCTAACGTACACACGGCACCCTGAAGCGGTTAAGGGCATAAACAAAGGCTACTTCCACTAGGGGCTCAGAGCAGGTGACGGCGGAGCCATTGGACCCAAAGGAGGAAAAGCGGGGGGGTGGGGGGGTGGAGTCCAGGTGGGAAGGCAGCAGAAGGGATGCGAATGAGGAGGCGGGCTCACGGAAGGGCCCTTCACAGGCTGGTGCTGTGGCACAGCGGGTAAAGCCGAGTCCCGGCTGCTCCACTTCCGATCCAGCTCCCTGCTAATGGCCTGGGAAGGCAGCAGAAGGTGGCCCCCATGGGAGACCTGGATGAAGCTCCTGGCTTTGGCCTGGCTCAGCCCAGGCCGATGTGGTCATCTGGGGATTGAACCAGCGAATGGAAGCTCTCTTTCTCTCCTCCCTCTCATCCTCCTCCCTCCCTGTAACTCTGTCTTTCAAATAAAGAAAAAAAAAAAAGACTTCACCACTTAGAGAAGTCCAGCCTGCCCACCTCCAACCTCTGACCAGCGCCCAACCTCTAGTCTCTCCCCGAGCCTGCTACCACCCACAGTCATCTTGCCCTGGTGCCCATCTGCCCCCATCGACGTGAAAGCCCCTGAGAGCAGAGGGCCTGTCCTCTTCAACACAGAAGCCCCCAGGGCCCGGCACAACACCTGCCTACTGGGTGTTGAGTAAATGCCTGGTAAACGAGCCAAGAAGCGAATACATGGTGACCAACGCCATAACCAAAGCATGTGCAAGCTGTGATGGACACACAGGAAGCCGTGTGAACTCCGCAGGGGCTGCAAGTGGACTGGGAAGGCTTTTCTCCCTGACAGTGTTCCTGTGCCCCTGGAGAGCGAACCAGCACAGGGGAGCCACCAGGCGCCAAGGCGCCCCCTTCCGTTTATCCCAGGACGGCATTCCACGTGGCTGCACCTGCTGTAGACACTCTCCAGGTCTTCATCCGGAAAGGAGCCGTGAGGCCTTCGCGCGTCAGGATTTTCGTATGGGCAGAAACCAGCTAAGCTCCAAAATCAGGACCCCTCCTGCGTGGGGCGAAGGGATTAGATGGGGAAGAATCTGCGTTTGTGTCCACATGGACCTGCACAGATGACCTTGATGCAAAGACAGACTTCTTTTTTAATTGCTCTACTTTTACTTATTTGAAAGACAGAGAAACAGAGATCTTCAATCTGATGGTTCACCCCACAAATGTCTGCAATAACCAGGGCTGGGCCAGGCTGGAGCCAGAAGCCAGGAATCAGGAACTCAATCCAGGTCCTCAACATGGGGGTTAGGGACCCAGCCACTTGAACCACTGCTGCTGACCCCCGGGTGCACAGCAGGAAGAGGCTGGGACCAAGGACCAGAGCTGGAGTCAGGCCCAGACTTATGAACCTGGGTCTTAAAGGCAACGCCAAAGGCTCAGCCTGAAGTACATTTTTTTTTTAAAAGATTTACTTATTTAATTGAAAGTCAGAGTTACACAGAGAGAGAAAGAGAGGCAGAGAGAGGGAGAGAGAGAGAGGTCTTCCATCTGTTGGTTCACTCCCCAACAGCCACAATGGCCGGAGCTGCGCCGATCCAAAGCCAGGAGCCAGGAGCTACTTCTGGGTTTCCCACGCAGGTGCAGGGGCCCAAGCACTTGGGCCATCTTCTGCTGCTTTCCCAGGCCACAGCAGAGAGCTGGATCCTGGATCCGAAGTAAAGCAACCAGGACTCGAACTGGCGTCCACATGGGATGCCGGCACCACAGGCGGTGGCTCAACCTGCTACACCACAGCGCTGGCCCCACCAAAGTACATTTTTTTAAAGCCTGAAATGTTTGTCCACTCACATGGCTGCAGTGAGACCCACTACCTGGGATGGGACCAGGAGACACAGCCAGGCTACCAAGGGAAACCCTCCCTCAAGCCCTTCCCTCCCCCACCCCAACTTAGATTCCCACAATAACCATTTGAAATCACAGCTCTGATCAGGTCAGTCCCCTCCACTAAACCAGCCAGGCTTTCCCTGTAAATAAAATCCCAGCTCCTCACGGGGGCTTTCTAGGTCCTGTGGTCACTCCCGGGGACAGACCTCTGTTTAAGTATACAGACTCTGTATAAGTGAGTGCTGTATAAGAAGCGGCACTCACTCGTGGGTCAAATCCCCGACTACCTGGGCAGACTGAATATTCTCCAGAGTACCTTCTTCATCTTAACCATGAAAATAACTGACTTTGGGGCCCACGGCTCCTGCACCTGCTATGGGAACCAGTTCAAGTCCCAGCTGCTCCACTTCTGATGCAGCTGCCTGCTAACGCATCTAGGAAAGCAGTGGAGGATGGCCCACGTACCTGGGCCCCTGCACCCATGTGGGAGACCTGGAAGAAGCTCTTGGCTCCTGGCTTTGGCCTAGCACAGCTCTTGCCATTTGGGGAGTGAACCAACAGGTAAATGACCTATTTCTTTCTCTTTCTCTCTCTCTCTCAATTCACAATTAAGTGATTATTAAGGGGCAGGCGCTTGGCTCGGCAGTTAAGATACCACTTGGGATGCTCACAACAAGTACTGAAGTGCCTGGGTTCGAGTCCTGGCTCTGCTCCCAATTCCAGCTCCCTGTTCTGCACGCTGGAAGGCAGTGATGGCCCAGGTACCTGGGTCCTTGCCACCCACGTGGGAGAGCTGGATGCAGTTCCTGGCTTCGGCCTGACCCAGCCCCAGCTGTTGTGAGCATTTTGGGGAGCGAACCAGCAGATGGAAGAACAATCTTTCTCTCTCTCTCTCTCTCTCTCTCAAATGAAAACAGATTTTTTAAAAAGATTTTATTTATTTATTTGAGAGGTAGACTTACAGACGGGGTGGGGGAGGGGGAGCAGGAAAGGGAGATCTGCCATCTGCTGGTTCACTCTCCTAACAGCTGCAACAGCTGGAGCTGGGCTGACCCAAAGCCAGGAAGGGGGTCGGGGGCTGGGACCACCTGGGCAGGACTTTGATGTGCACGACGCTGGGCTTCTGGAGCTTCCGCAGTAGGTGCTGGTCTTCAGGCCTGTCTCCACACACATAGGCTCAGTTATGACTTCCTGCCTAACAGAGCCAGGACGCAACCCTGAACTGCCTGACACCTGAGCCCATCTTATAAAATGTGAGTTCAAAACTTCAGCCTTCACACACACAGACTTTCAGAGAATTATTCCTTAATCTTGAGCTTCAGTTTCTCCCTAGAGAAAAAAAAACAATGCCCAGCTTCTCCTACATTGGGGATGGTGCTACCCAATGCCCCAGAGGTTGCTGAGGGTTCCCCGCCTGCCCCGTGGGCACACAGGGAGTGAAGGTGGTGGGAGGAGGGCGGGGTAGAGCCTGGAACCCTGCAGAGCGTCCAGCGAGGGCGGGAAGGCCCTGGGTTCCGCAGAGAAGTGACAAGGGCCCTTCTAGAACACGCTCCAGGCTTCTCACGGCCATCACTGCAAACACTCGGCCCTCGTGCAGCTCGCCCAGCGCTTGTATGAGCCAGCTTTAAGACGTTCACGAAAAGCAGAAATAACAGCTTATTTGGGTACAAATGGAAAATTGAAATCCACATACTGGTTTTTCACAATACACATTTTTCCATTAACTTCTCAAAGCCCCCTCCTACACAGAGCAAGACAGATTAATGCCCAGGGCGGGTGAGACGAGCCTGCTGTTGGACCCTGTGGATGCCCAGGGTGGGACGGGGTCTGAGGGCTGCCCTGGTGGCTCCAAAGACTCTTGAAAGCTCTCAGAGGAATAAAATAGGGGGCTGGGCAACGCAGAGTCGACACAGAATAAGCACTTGATCAACACCTATTGGCTGGATGGATGAGGGATGGGAAGGCTGCCGGACCCCCCCCAATGGCCACTGCGGCCGGCGCACCGGGCTGATCAGAAGCCAGGAGCCAGGTGCTTCTCCTGGTCTCCCATGCGGGTCCAGGGCCCAAGGACTTGGGCCATCCTCCACTGCACTCCCAGGCTACAGCAGAGAGCTGGACAGGAAGAGGGGCAACCGGGACAGACTCCGGCGCCCCGACCGGGACTGGAACCCGGTGTGCTGGTGCCGCAAGGCAGAGGATTAGCCTAGTGAGCTGCAGCGCTAGCCAGGAGCCTGTTTTAACAGTGCAGGCCAGAATCGGTGAGGGCTCCAAACTAAGGAATCACCATTGAGAACGGAAGCCCAGGCAGAGCAGGGTTCAAATCCACCTGCCACACACCAGCTGTGCGTGCTGAGGCTGCTCGGTGGTTGGCAGGCCGGCTGGTTGGTTTTATTGATCTCGTGTGTGTGTGTGTGGAGGTCTCACCAAGGCTGGGGGCGTGGATGTGCTCAGTGTCTGGGCAGCAGGGCAGGGCCCCCTCCCAGACACACTCCCCCAGCCAAAGCTGCCCTGGGCGAGACTTCCTGAGCTCCCTTGGGAGTCCCGCCCTTCCCCCTCCCCTCCCTGGCCTTTATCTATAAAATAGAGATGGGTGCCATTGCGATCACACCTGCCCGAGGCGCAGAGTGGGAGGGGGGAAAGCGTCTGTCCTCGCCTTGCCTGGCCTCGCCTCTCTTCTCCCCGCCTCTGCTCTCCTCTCCTCTCCCATTCCCTCCCCCTTCCTTCCCCTCTCTTCTCTCTTTGTCGGGGCGGGGGTTGGGGGGTAGCATTTGGGTCACCCCAGTTTCTCACTGGTACAATGCTTGGCCTCACAGGCTTCGCCCGGGCCTGTGCCTGGCTCCACCTCTGGCATTTCTCCCCACTCTCTGAGTCACTCCACGGTGGGGGAAACTCATTCCAAGGTGCCTGAAGGGGACCAGCTGGGAAGCACCTCTTGGCACAGCTCTCCCCCAGGGCAGAGAAGACCCAGCTGTCTGGCACCCCCTAGTCGGGCTTGGGCTGGGGCCCAGTCTGCCTGCGCATACAGAACACCATTGTGCACGCAAAGCCACCTGTTAAAAATGATTCCAAGTGAGATTCTGGCCAAGTCGATTCTCTGAAATAAAAATCCGAAGATAATTTCTGTTTTTCTGAACCATGAATCAGAGCCAGGTTTTCCCAGGAAACAGCCAGTGAGCTCTCTTGACCTTGATCCCGGGGTTCAGCATCAGGCACTTGGTACTGAGGTCATGTCGCCAGTTGCAAGGCCCGTGTCCCATTTAGAAGTACCTGGATTTGAGCCCGGCTCCACTCTGGATTCCAGCTTCCCGCTAATGTGCACCCTGGCACGCAGCAGAGGATGGTTCAAGTATGTGGGTGCCTGCCACCTGCAGAGACCTGGACTGAGTTCCTGACTGCTGGCCTGAGCCTGGGCCAGCCCTGGGGCAGGTATTTGCGGAGTAAACCAACAGATGAGAACTGTCTGCCCTCTGCCTAATAAATACATTTTTAAACATTTTAAGACAAATTTGCCTAGGGCTGGCATCATGGTACAGCAGGTTAAGCTGCTAACCTATGATGCTGGCATCTCATATGGGCACCAGTTCAAGATCTAGCTGCTCCACTTCTGATCCAGCTCCAAACACCGGAGTGCTTGGGCCCCTGCATTCATGTGGGAGACCCAGATGGAGTTCCTGGCTCCTGATTGGCCCAGCCCTGGCTATTGTTGCTATCTGGGAATGGAACCAGTGGATGGAAGATCTCTTTCTTTCTCTGTCTTTCCCTCTCTCTCTCTGTAACTCTGCCTTTCAAATAAATAAATAAAGCTTTAAAAAAAAAGCAAATATTCTTTTTAAAAAATCATTAAAATGTTAAGGCAATTAGAATATTAATATCTCACTGGAGATTTGATATTAAACAATTTCATTTTTCCTAAGTGTGACAGTGGCACAGAAGTTACACCTTTGAAAGAGTCCTTACCTTCGAGAGAAACTTGCCGAAGCGTTTACGGTGCATGATCTGATGTCTGGCGCCTGCTCCAAAGGACGCAGAAGGGAGTGAGGGGTGGGAGTATGAATGAAACACTGGCCCTGACATGACAGCACCCAGGTTGGCTGATGATGGGGTGTGCATGGATGTTCACTGTATAACTCTAGTTTTGTCTGCATTAGAAAACTTCTAGAATCAAGGATTTTTAGCCACTACCTCTTGAGCCAGCCTTAAAAAAAACCAGCCCCTTGAGGTCTCTGAGGCTGGTTGTTACTTCTGTCAAAAGTCTGCCTTGTCACTCTCCTGCTCAAGAACCCTCCATGGCTCCCCACTGACTTCACAACACAACCTCCTCTCTCTGCATCTCCTACAAAGCCTGCCCTGGTCTAGCCCAGTTCGGCTTCCCACCTCTCGCTGCCCAGCCTACCCAGAGGTCTTCAAACGGTTCGTGGAAAATGAATATGGTGACAAAATCTACTCATGGATTTCAAAATCCGCTGGCACCTAAATCAGCATTCTGCTTTTGCATGACTGTGCGGGAGCCCCCACCGCATTGCCCAGCTCCCGGCGCTCAGGCCTCCGCCCCGAGGACAGGCACGGTGCCTGCACCCTGCATCCCCACGTCAGAGGACACTGCCGGAGGCCCCTCAGCCTCCACGGTCGGGCTTCTCACGCTGAAAGGCTCTGTTTCCTCGCTGCGCTCTGGGGCTCCTCCCGTTCGGTGCCTGGCAGGAAGCATTAGCATCCCATCCCCTCTGCAAGCACGGGTCGATGTGCTTTGGTCTGTATCTCCCATAGGCAGCAGGATGGGACCTCCCCCTTATCTCAGATTCTTCAGCTCAAGACTCAATGCTGAAAAATGACAGGGAAAACATGCCCTCACATTCTACAGAATGGCGCTAGGGCGGACGCTCTGGCAAAGCAGGTTAACCTGCCACCTGGGATGCCACACCCCCTATCTGAACACCAGTTCAAGACCTGGCTGCTCCACTTCTGATCCAGCTCCCTGCTAACGTGCATGGGAAGCATCAGGTGATGGCCCAAGTGCTTGAGTTCCTGCCACCCACATGGAGAGACCCAGATGGAGTTCCTGGCTCCTGGTACAGCCTGGCCCAACACTGGCTATTACAGACATTTGGAAAATGAACCCGTGGATGCAAGTTTCTCTCTCTCTCTCTCTCTCTCTCTCTCTCTCTCTCTCTCTCTCTGCCTTTCAATGAAATAAATCTTTAACAATGATAATAAAGGCGCTAAACATACCCTTGCAGAACTTGCCACAAGGTACCAAAACCAGTGGGGCCGTTGGCACCACCCACGGGCTACGGCAGCTAACCACGAGGAAGTATCTGACTGGATGACGGGAAACGTAAGGGCCAGAGTGAGGAGAGGGAAGCAGGTGCTGTCCTCCAATCGTGAAGCCAGATCAGGCTTTGTAATATCCGCAAGTGACTCCCAATTACCAAGATCAGACCCCTGTGAGACCAAAAACAAAGTCGCAGAGATTACCGGGCAAACACAAAGAAGAGGAAGTGGGAATCAAGATCATGGTACCAAGCCAGCTGGATTTTGGGTAGAACAAATAAATAAATGAAATAAAGAAGGATATTTATAATAATAACAAAGGGTGCCAGCACAAAAAGGTATTTATGTGCCAAATACACAAGCATCACAAACATGAACCCAAAACTCATGGAAGCACCAGAACGGCAATGAAATTTACATGGTCTCTCTCACTGTGACAGATCTGGTGGACAGAGGAGCCCAAAGCACAGAACTGAAAACTGACCGCTAATCAAGTGCGTCGGGGAGGGCTGACTGCTTTCAGATTACCTTCCAGGCTATGCTAAGTTTCGGCTCCTCTCCCTCCTCTTCTTCCTCTCCCCCCTCTTCTTCCTCTTCATTTTAGGCGCCCTCCACTTCCGTTCCCCTAACACACAGTTTTACCCGTGGCTCCACTCTGAAGTCACCTAAGGGCTGGGCATTTGGCCTCCTGACTTCCTTGCCAGTTAGACAGCTCGTGTCCCGGAGGAGAGCACTGGGTTCGAGTCCTGGCTCCACTCTCCGCGTCCAGCTTCCTGCTAAGATTCACCTGGGAGGTGCTGGATGGTGTCACTGAGTCCTTGCCACCTGCAGGGGAGACCTGGATTGAGCTCCCAACTCCCAGCTTTGGCCTGGCCCAGCCCCAGCTGTTGTAAGGCATATAGTGAACCAGAGAGAGCCAGAAGAGGGGAACTTTTTCTCATTCTCAAATAAATTTTAAACAGCAAAAAAGTTTTTAAACACCCGGCCTCACTCACAGAGGTTTTCATCCTGCCCAGGTGAACCTAATCACGGCGAGGCTGAGAAACTCCACCTAGGGGGTAGGCTCCCTTTTCAGCCTTGCTCCTATTCACCCTTCAAAGCCCAGGGCAAAGTCACCTCCCTGGAGAAGGCTTCGCAAAACACACACACACCCCAGAAGTCACTCCTCACATCTCAGCTCTCCTTCCGTGTTCTGTGCATTACCCTAACACTGCGCCTGTCCCACCTGCTCTCCAATGCCGCACACAGGAGCGTCCGATGGAGGACCACCGCGGGAGCAAACGGGCGAGCGAGCACGTTCCTAAACCGACTGTTCCAGCTGGGGTCCTGAATCACGGCTAAGGCTGCTCATTAGCAGGCGGGAAGCGACAATCCTAGAAAAACAGCGAGACGGACGCTCCCTCTAAGCCGCTGGATGGATGCCGCGCTCAGAGGGAGAGCGGCGAGGCACGGGCTCAGAGCAGCTCCCCAGAGATGACGGTGACAAAGCCCGAGAGACGCGTGTGATCGTTAAACACGATTTCCTCGCCGGCACTTTTACCTTCGGGCTGACAGATCAGTGTTGAGGACACTGAATAAGTCACGGAACGCCCAGCCATCTTTTTTTTTTTTTTTTTTTTTTTTTTTTTGACAGGCAGAGTGGACAGTGAGAGAGAGAGACAGAGAGAAAGGTCTTCCTTTGCCGTTGGTTCACCCTCCAATGGCCGCCGCGGCCAGCGCGCTGCGGCCAGTGCACTGCGCTGATCTGATGGCAGGAGCCAGGTGCGTCTCCTGGTCTCCCATGGGGTGCAGGGCCCAAGCACTTGGGCCATCCTCCACTGCACTCCCTGGCCACAGCAGAGAGCTGGACTGGAAGAGGGGCAACCGGGACAGAATCCGGCGCCCCAACCGGGACTAGAACCCGGTGTGCCGGCGCCGCAAGGCGGAGGATTAGCCTAGTGAGCTGCGGCGCCGGCCCCCAGCCATCTTTAAACGCTGAAGCACAGGGTCACTGCATCTGACAGGTGAACTAGATCCTGATTCGGACCCAGGACCGTGGCAAAGGCTGTTCTCCCTGCCGCGGCAGGGCTGCGGAGCAGCGTCGCCAGCCGTGGACTTGCCGCCCACAGTCGGCCACGTTTCCAGCACCCGGCCCCTGACTCCCTGTTAGAAACAGCGAGGGGAGCTGCAGTTGGGCAGCAGAGGGTTAAGCCACCACTTATGGCGCCCGCATCCCAGCTGCTCCACTACTGATCCAGCCCCTGCTAATGTGCCCGGGAAAGCAGCAGAGGATGGCCCAAGTGCCGGGGCCTCCACACCCATGTGGAAGACCCAGAGAAGCTTCTGGCTCCTGGCTTTGGCCTGGCCCAGCACTGACCGTTGTGGCCATCTGGGAGTGAACCAGTGAATGGAAGATCTCTCTCCTTTTCTCTTTCAACTAAATAAATAAATCTTAAAAACAAACAGACACAAGGCCGGCGCCGTGGCTCACTAGGCTAATCCTCCGCCTGCGGCGCCAGCACACTGAGTTCTAGTCCCGGTCGGGGCGCCGGATTCTGTCCCAGTTGCCCCTCTTCCAGGCCAGCTCTCTGCTGTGGCCCAGGGGTGCAGTGGAGGATGGCCCAAGTGCTTGGGCCTTGCACACCATGGGAGACCAGGAGAAGCACCTGGCTCCTGCCATCGGATCAGCGCGGTGCGCCGGCCGAAGTGCGCCAGCCACGGTGCGCCGGCCGCAGCACACCAGCCGCAGTGGCCATTGGAGGGTGAACCAACGGCAAAGGAAGACCTTTCTCTCTGTCTCTCTCTCTCACTGTCTACTCTGCCTGTCAAAAAAAAAAAAAAAAGAGAGACACACAAAGCTCTCTCTCTTCCTCCGTGGGTTCCAGGGTTATGTATGTTAGTACACAGCCAGATCACACCTACCTGGGGGCAGGTCGGATCATAAGGATTTCCCAGGACATTTGTTCAACAGAGGGAGTCTGGATCTCTGGGAGAAAGACTTCATCTCTAACAAGTTCTCCAGGTAATTCTAAGACAAGGAAATAAGGGAAAATCAAACTAAATACTATAAACCCTGGGAAGTCAACTAAAATTATCTAGCAAATGAGTCACCATGCCTACCCATCCATCATGAATGAGAGAGTTCATTCATTCAGTCTGTCACTCGGTCAGTCAACAAACCTTTCCTGTCCATCCGCTCCACAGCAAGCACTGCTGATACCAGGGTGGAGGTCAGGAGACGCAAGCCCCTGCCTTTTCTCTGGCTGCCGGGGCTGCTTTCCTCACCACACAGGCCGTCTCCAGGTCTCCTAAGAGCCTGTGGGCCCATAGCTCACCTCATTCTTCAGGATGCTTCTCGGAGCTGACCGCTGAGCCCTCCATGCTTTGCTCCGCACCACGCCAGGACACGCAGCCGCCGGCCCAGGAAGGCTGGCAGCTCTGGCTCTTCTCCGCCCAGCTCGCTGGAGGCCTGCAGCTGCGGTTGGTTCATCTCCGTAATCCCAGTAGGTTGGGCCTGGTGTGGAATCTCAAGAGAGGCTTAGAAGTTATCAGGGGAGGGGCCGGTGCTGTGGCCCAGCAGGTACAGCTGCCACCTGCAGCAGCGGCATCCCATGTGTGCGCTGGTTCCAGTCCCGGCTGCTCCCTGCTGGTGGGCCTAGCAGAGCAGTGGAGGATGGGAGGATGTCCAAGTGCTTGGGCCCCTGCTACCCACGTGGGAGACCCAGAGGAAGCTCCTGGCTCCTGGCTTCAGCCTGGCCCAGCCCTGGCTGTTGCGGCCATTTGGGGAGTGAACCAGTGGATTGGACGACCTCTCTCTCTCTCTCTCTCCTTCTCTCTCTGTAACTCTACCTTTCAAACAAATAAATATTATAAAAATATAAAAGTACTTATCAGGGGAGAAAGCCACAGACACAGAGCAAGAAGTGCTAGGCGAGAGGTCACTAACAACAATGGAACCGAGGCACTGGCACAACCCTGCTCCTGGCAGAGTCCCCGGTCAGGCAACACCGCAACTCAGGGCCACCCCAGGGGAGGGGCGGCCACTGGTGTCCCCCATGGGTGCCTCATTTCTGGTCATTAATCCGGAAATGCTTCAAGGAACCATAGTGTTTGACTTGAAAGGAGGGTGTGGGTATCTGAGCAGACCTGGCTTAGGAAGGCACCCCAGGGGCTGGGAAGAGCCACGAAGGCAGGGGGCAGGAACGCAGGCATGTCTGAGAGGGGCGGGAGGTGAGCACGGCCCAGGAGCAGGGAGCACAGGGCCTGGGAAGTCTAGGGCAGGGTCAGAAAGGACCGTCCCCCTTCATCGTCACAGCTCCCCAGAGCGGCCCCCGGGCAAGTCTGGCCTCCCTCTGTCATGGCTGCGTTTTCTAGATTTATATTTCTTTATTAATTTAATATCTTTGGTTCACACACTGCTGGTATCTGTAGCACGTCTCTTGGACCCAGGAAATTTGTCACTGAAAGCTGAGTTCTTGGTGTTGAGCTGGTCAGAGCTGCAGACATAGTCAGGAGGCCGCTAGAGGGTAGTGGTGCCGGCTGCACCCCGCACCTGCCATGGGGTTCATCCAGAGGCCCCGGGCTCCTTCCTGGGAGGGGGCTGCTTCTCTCCTGGCCTCTTCTCCCAGTCCCGCAACCAGGCCAACATCTTGTCTCCTGAACAAGAGGTCAGTGAACCCCAGGTGACCTGGACCCAGACCCCTGGGCTCCCGAATGCAATCTACTGGGGGCAGATTGCAGAGGGGGTGGAGATGGGAGTCGTGAGTGCGTTGGGCAGCCCTGAGCCCAAGAAAGCCTGGGAGAAGGAATCAGAAGTCTGTTCTCAGAATTCCCAAGCCCAGAGAGAAAAGAGGAAAGAAAAATAACCAGGCCAGGGAGCCGGGGTCAAAGGTCTGAGAGTGGCTAAAGGTCACAGCCACACACAAGGACAAAGTGTGAAGAGGCAGGGGCAGGGCAGCGGCTGGGCACCCCCAGGGCGCCCCTCAGTGGCGCTACTCTCCTAGAGTCCCCACGGCAAGGACCGATCTCATTTCACTCTGCGTCCTCAGCAGGCTGACAGCCCGTGACCCTCGGGGGAGAGGACTGGGCCCCCAGAAGTTTATCTGTGTTGCTGGGCCGTTCGGCTCATGCTCCTTGTAGCACCACCATCCAATAGATCAAAATGTAAACCACTTGCGTATTTTTTTCTTTTTTTTATTTTTTGACAGGCAGAGTGGACAGTGAGAGAGAGAGACAGAGAGAAAGGTCTTCCTTTGCCGTTGGTTCACCCTCCAATGGCCGCCGTGGCCAGCGCGCTGCGGCCAGTGCACTGCGCTGATCTGATGGCAGGAGCCAGGTGCTTCTCCTGGTCTCCCATGGGGTGCAGGGCCCAAGCACTTGGGCCATCCTCCACTGCACTCCCTGGCCACAGCAGAGAGCTGGCCTGGAAGAGGAGCAACTGGGACAGAATCTGGCGCCCCGATTGCGACTAGAACCCGGTGTGCCGGCGCCACAAGGCAGAGGATTAGCCTAGTGAGCTGCGGCGCCAGCCCCACTTGCGTATTTTTAAAGTTTACTTATTTTTTATTTGCAAGACAGAGCCCTCACCTGCTGATTCACTCCCTAAACGCCTGCAATGGCTGGAGCTGGGGCTAGGCTGATGCTGAAGCCATGAGCCAGGAACTCAATCCAGGTCTCACACCTAGGTAGGGGAACCAGTCACCTGAACCATCACCACATGCTCCCAAGGTCTGCATTAGCAGGAATCTGCAAGCCAGAGCCAGAGCCTGAAATCAAACCCAGACTCTCAGGTATGGAAAGAGAGAAAGAGATAGAGAGATTGAGAGAGAGAGACTCTTCCACCTGCTGGTTCACTATTCAAATGGCCACAACAGCAAGAGGCTGGGCCAGGCCAAAGCCAGGAGCCAGGGCCTGCATCCAGGTCTCCCATGGGGGTGCCAGGGGTCCATGCACGCGGGCCCTCATCTGCTACCTCTCGGGATACACGAGCAGGAAGCTGGATCGGAAGCCAAGCAGCCAGGACGGAGCTCTCCAATTCGGGACGTCAGCGTCGCAAGCGGCAGCTAACCGGTCCCTTCCCGAGGTCCTTCAGACCCCTACAGACTGGGCACGAAAGGGAACCTGTGTTTTCAAAGCTTCAAGCCAGTCTATTTTGCAAGAATGGAATTCCCCTCTGGGAGGTGACGGTCCTTTCTTTTCAGCAAAATCCACACGTGTGCGTCTGCCGTGAAGATGTGGAGCTGGCCCAGGCAGCTGGCGTCCCCGGGGGGCTAGGGAGAGCCGTCCGTGCAGCGGAAAAGGCTTCCTGTGCGTGGCCCGGGCTGGATGGTCCTGCTGCCCTTCCGCCTCTCCCGCTAAGGGGGGTGGTAGACGCCTGTGCAGGCAAAGCTCAAGACTGCACTGTTGACGTCCCTGTGCAGGTGCTGTTCAAGGCTGAAGCTGCTGTGTTTGAGGCTGGAGCGGCGCATTTTGGGTCTGGTCATGTGTGCTCTCGACACAGAAACAGCACGGAGGGAGAGCGTGGGTGAGCGCCTACAGGCACCAGACATCCTTGGAAGGAAGCCAGCCCTGCCCAGAATGGCGAGGCCATAGCTATTCACCTGGCAGGGAGAGATGTTCCGCTCCCTGAGGCTCTGCAGGGACAAGGGCCCCTACAGCCCAACAGAACCAAAGTCAGCTAGGCTCCCGGGCCTGCCTGTAGACCCAGCTCCCGTCCGGCACGGCTCAGCTGCCAAGCGACCATCAGGATCACATCAGCTGCCCCTACAAAGTCCCAGGAGCACTGAGAGGGGGGAAGGCCTGCATGATAAGGCTCCAGTGACATATAACCATATGGATACAAAATGATGATGTGACCTCATTCAATAAAACACACCAGCCGCGGCCTGCACCTGTGCGCTCACTTCCACTGGGCTGGGAGTCTGCACAGCAAACCTCTTAGTCATCCTTGCGTCTCCAGAATGTTCCTGGCCCAGAAAAGAGACTCAGCACTCATACGAGCCATGCAATGGGAAGCCAAGCCCAGCCCTGCCGTGAGACTCCGAGGCAGGAAGGTGTTCTCGCCCTCGCAGGGCAGAAAGGAAGCCGGGCCAACCTGATGCTCCCTATTCTCTGTGCCTTTTTCTTGCAAAAATCTATTTTAGACACAGAAAGACAGAGGAAGAGAGATCTGCTGGTTCACTTCCCTAATGCCCACAACAGCCAAGACAGCACCAGGAGCCAGGAATGCAGTCCAGGTCTCCCACATGGTGGCAGGGACCCCAATACCTGAGCTGTCACCTGCTGTGTCCCCAAGTGCACGTTAGCAGGCAGCTGGAAGTGGCCCCGGGACTCAGGCCCAGGCGCTCCAGCATGGAGAGAGGCAGCCCAACTGGCATCCCGACCACCACACCGAACACCTGCCCCTCTCCGAAGAATTTGCCTCCCAGGCAAATATCAAAAAGCCAGCAGAAAACCTCAGCACAAAAGGAGAGTGGTTGGTTAGTGGATGCCTCCTATCCGGGCAAACCACCTCTGTGGAGCAAAAAGGCAATCAGTAAGAGCAAAGCCCTGGACAGCCCAGAGCACCAGGCCTCCTCCTGCCAGTGCCCACTTTCTGAGAATGACTTCTCCCTCGGGGACCCAATGATAGGCAGGTAGCAGTGGCATCCCAGAGCCCTCCCTGCCTGGACTGAATGATGGGGAGGTGAGGAGTGAGCTGAGACCCGAACCACTCATCAGAAGGGAGCCCACAGGGTCCAAACCGCAGCTCCCTCTCCTGATTCAAGCTTCCTGCAATGCAGATCCTGGGACCTGGCAGCCATGCATGGCTCAAGTGATTGGGCTCCTGCCACCCGAGCAGGAGATCTGGATCGAGGGCCCTGCTCCCCAGTTCCAGGTGTTGCAGACACTTGGGGAGCCAGAAGATAAGAGCCCTCTGTCTCTCAGATACAGTGAATTAAAAAAAAAAAAAAAAAAAAAAAGACCGGATCTCAGGGTTGAGATGGCTCCACCAACAACAAACAAAAGCAAGAAGAATCGGCAGCGCTGGTTTCTCCACTCTCCGCGGTCCCTCTGATGAAAGCACGGGCATGGTTGTAGTGCCTCGCTGCTTAAGCAAAACCAGGAACCTATTCAAGAGCACAGCTGAGATGAACAGACACAAAGTGATGCCCACGGCCTGATGAGGAAGCTGCCGCCAAAGCCAAGCTCCAGGTGTCGGGAACACAGATGCTGATTTCGCATCCGCATCAGGAATCTGACCTTGCCACCACCCAGAGCCACCGCCACTGTGGCTGCCACCATCCACGACCTCGCACCTTGGCCACCACCTGTGCCCATCCTCCTGTGGCTCCCAATGGAATCAAGATCTGCATGGACATATCAGATAGGTTGAGCTTGGTCCTGGGCCTGTGTCCCAGCCCCAGTGCAGGCTGGGATTGTGAGCTCTGACTTCCTCTTTGGGAAGACATACGAGGCACTTACTGGGTACAGAGACAGTTCTAAAGGGCCCTTTAAGGGCCGGTGATGTGGCACAGCAGGCTAAGCCCTGGCTTGAGATACCTGGATCCTTTATCGGAGCCCTGGTTCAAATCCCAGCTATTCCGCTTCTGATCCAGCTTCCTGCTAATACACCTGGGAAGGCAGCTGATGGTGGCCTGGATGGAGTGCCTGGCTCCTGGCCTTGGCTTGGCCCAGCCCTGGTTGTTGCAGGCATTTGAGGAATGAACCAGAGGAGGGAAGATCTCTTTCTCTCCCTGTCTTTCCCTGTTTCTCAAGTAAATAAATCTAAAAAAAAAAAAAAAAAAAATGAGGGCCCTGCATGCTGAAAAGAGCTCATAGTGGTGACAGCAGCAGAACCACGTGAATGTACTTGATGCCACTAAACTGGACACGTAAAAATGGTTAAGACGGGAGCTGGTGTTGTGGCGTAACAGGTTAACTGCCGCCTGCAATGCTGGCATCCCATATGGGTACCAGTTGGAGTGTCAGCTGCTCCATCCTATCCAGCTCTCTGCTAATGTGCCTGAGAAAGCAGCAGAGGATGGCCCAAGTGCTTGAGCCCCAGTTCCTGGTTCCTGGCTTTGTCCAAGCCCAGCCCTTGCCATTGCGGCATTTGGAGAGTGAACCAATAGATCAAAGATCTCTCTCTCTCTCTCTCTCTCTGTAACTCTGCCTTTCAAATAAATAAATCTGCTTTTAAAAAAGGGTTAAGATGATATATTTTCGGTTGTGCATTTCACCAAAATTAAAATTTTATTGAAAACTTAACTAAAAAAATCATAAGACATTGGGCAGCTGTAAATACGACAAATGCTCCCTGCACATCTCAATAAACACTGGGTGAATAAGTAAGTAAGGGCACTTGGTCAGGGCTGCTGGGCCCCAGACACACAGCAGCGGAACCAGTCCCTGCTGAACAGTTCTCAGTTCCCCAGCATGTTCAGTGTACTGGGTACTTCCTGCGACCATGGCTTGTGCCCACAGGATGACTACTGCTGACATAATTACAGCTAATGTATGCGGTGCCAGCAGGGAGCCTGGCGCTTGCACACGTTATCTCGCTTGCTCCTCACTACAGCCTGCTCCCTAGGTGCCGGCTACCGGTCAGAAGGGGCAACTCATGCAGCCCGAGCACGGGAGGGCAGAATACGTTGGCAGAAACACAAAGAGACGGGAGCAAATTCAAGGCAAAAGGGAGATTCAGAAAACCCTATGTTGAAACAGGGACAAAAAGAGAATTCTCAGCAGGTTTCCAGTGTTGTGACCCCAAAAGTGAGGCGCCTCAAACAGGACCCAGGGAAAGCTGTACAACGGTACAAGGCCCTGCCTCCGGCAGCCCTGACAACAGGCTTCCCCGGCACCTCATAATATGATGTTATAATGAAAAACCCCATGTGCTGATAAAGTAAACAGTCATTCCAGATGGGGCCACAGAGGGTCCAGGGAGTGGTTTCCAGGACCTAAAAGTTGAGGTCATGGGAGATATCTAAAGTATGTATAAGGAACTTGAACTTGCTCACTTCAGGGAATGTGTGGTTCAGCCAGGACCTGTTGCTTCTCCCACGGAGGTTGATCAAAGTCTGTATGCCTGGTCAACCATGTATTTGTTTATCCAAATGCACACACGTTCTCCTCCCGGCATCTCTGCCCAGAGACAGGCAGAGGGTCACAAATCACACAGCTTGGGACCAGGCGGCTGCAGAAGCGGCTGTTTGCACTGCTCTCCAGATCACTCCTACAACCCCAAAAGGGTTTGGGGAGCAGAATAGAGAATTTTGAGAGTTATAACAGAGGAAGCAAAGGTTGGAGAGGTTGCATAACGAACCCAGCTAGCAAAAGAGCAAGCGGGGATCTGAACCGAGTCTTCCAAGGCCCATTTCCTCAGTGAGTGGGGATGCAGGCCCTCGGCCAGCGGGTAACCAGCTGTGTGGCCGTGGCTCACGGCGCCTACGTTCCCAACACAGGGCTCAGAGGACTGAACTGTGCATCACGCTTACACAGGTTGGCATCAATGAGCAAAAGTCCTGGCCTTACTTTTCAGGTGGAAAACCACAACCCACAAGAGTTAAAGACTACAACTAGGGTTCCATGGCCAGTGACTACCAAAGACGGATACTGATCCTGGTTTGTTTTAATCCAAATTCCACACCTTTGGCTCATCTGAGGCTTCCAGGGAGGACATAGGGAACACTAAGTTTAACTGACCTTCAGAAGAAATTCAGTTTTATTTTCTTGAGGACGAGACTGTGTGCGTCTACTCCATGCAGGTAACCATGGCAGGCACGATGGCACGGGACAAGATGAGGATGGCCTGCTCTGTCCTCAAGGGCATTTGGGCAGCCAGAGAAATGGGCCCAAGGGAAAATCTGAGACCAGAACTCCTTTCTTCTTCCAGCAGGGAAACGGGTTTGCAACAGTGAATAGGCAGCCAGGTAGAGAATGTCCAAGCCAGACAGAGAGGAGGTTCTTGGGTCAACCAGGACACGGGAGGAAGGGGGAATCTAATGAGTTTCTTGGGTCAAAGGAATGAATGGGCTATGGAGAAGAGTGCCCAGGGCTGTGGCCTGTGTGGCCCTAGAGACAAGTCCTGGGGAAGTCGTGACAGCAGGAGGGAGTCCCCAGCTCGCAGCAGGTGGCTACAGATGGATGTCTCAGGCAAGGTGAGAAGGACAAGGCTCCAGCAAGCGCACATGGGACCACAGCCACAGAAGGCCACTCCATGGAGGTGAGCTGCGTGGCCACCCGGGAATGCCTACTGCTTTCTCAGATGCAAAGCCAGATACACAAAACGCATTGTTATTTTACTAGCGACTCTTAGAAGCTCTTGCAACGGCACGAGTTGCCGCAGACACAGCTAGTTTCACATATTTATTTTATGTGTTTAGCACATGACACACAGCAGCTTGCATTGCATGACGCTCAGCTGTAACACATGCTCACTTGCGCTTGATCCTCCACGTGAATCTGACTTTACTGATCACTCACAACCAGGATTTCTAGCGCAGTTATCTGGTTCCCAAAAGTCCCTCTCCCCTTTCAGTGTGCTCTGCCCGCCTTTGTCAGTGTAAGGTATGGTTTCTACATTCCTGTCTCTTTCTTTTCCAGTCTCCCGGCAGAGTTTCTTCCATGGTTTCTCAGAGTTCTTAGACACTATTCTTTTTTCTATCTCTTTCTTTGACAGGCAGAGTGGACAGTGAGAGAGAGAGAGACAGAGAGAAAGGGCTTCCTTTGCCGTTGGTTCACCCTCCAATGGCCACTGTGGCTGGCGCGCTGTGGCCGGCGCACCACACTGATCCGAAGGCAGGAGCCTGGTGCTTCTCCTGGTCTCCCATGGGGTGCAGGGCCCAAGCACTTGGGCCATCCTCCACTGCACTCCCTGGCCACAGCAGAGAGCTGGCCTGGAAGAGGGGCAACCGGGACAGAATCCAGCGCCCCGATCGGGACTAGAACCCGGTGGGCCAGCGCCGCTAGGCGGAGGATTAGCTTATTGAGCCGTGGCACCAGCTTAGACACTATTCTATCAGTTTTGTACTTCTTAAAGCTGTTTACACCTGATTAATACTCAAAGACATAAGATTATTTGATTAGGTTCTCAAAAAACAGGATTCTTTTAAGATTTATTTCAATGAAAGGCAGAGTGATACACACACATACAGACACACACAAAGAGAAGGAGAGACAGATCTTCCATCTGCTGGTTCACCCCCCAAAGCCCACAACAGCCAGGCCTAGGCCAGGTTAAAGCCAGGAACCTGGAACTCCACCCAGGTCTCGCACACGGGTGGCAGAGACCCAAGTACGTGGACGTGGACAGTCATGCACTGCTTCCTGGGTGCGTCTGCAGGAAGCTGCATCAGAAGCACAGACTAGCTGGGACTCGAACCAGTGGTCCAAAGGGGAGGCAGTCGTCACAAGCAGCGGCTTAACACCGCGACACCCGCCCAACACACAATTCTTATAAACACCTTTATGTTCTGTGTCAAGGTCAAGATTGGCGCCATGTTGAACATTACCAAATGGAGAAATTCTAAGCTTAACTTCTCAAAGATCAAGTAAAAGCTCAGACACATGCTCAGACTTAATCAACAGTCACCATGTACACCAATCTGTGTCTCCCAGAAAGCAGATGCTGACATGGAGTTAGAAGCGAGAGACCCACGTGGGAGGCCAGGAGCTGGGAAAGACCCAGGGAAGGTTAAGCAGGAGAGGAAAATCTTCAGAGAGCAATGCAGAGCTGATCCTGTGAAAAGAGGGAGGAAGAAAAAACACGGGGAGAAGTCGGGAACCTTAATCGCGTATTTTTCAATGCCTCAGGCAACCCAGTGGGGGAGTGGAGCAAAAATGCCAATGGAAGAGCCCATGCTGGGCAGCAGTGGCTGGGCCTGGTGCCTCCACCACGCTCAGCGCCGGCTTGGGAGCTGCCTGGG